GGAAGAGGGTTTGCCCAGACTTCTTGGTGTGTTGGTGCAGACGAGAGGTTGCTGCTCTGGCTAATCCTCCAATGACGCTCTTTTTAGTATGTGAAAAGCAGCATCATGGTCCACCCTCTATTTAGTTTTCACTACAGTATTTAGAAATCGTCACAAGAATTGACAAAAGCTTCCCACCTTAAATATTTATTATGGATAAAATTTATTAGTGTGCTAAAACTAAAGTGTAAATATTTTGATAACAAATAGTCGGTCTCAAAAAAATACAGTCTCAATGGACATTCCTAAAATGCACTTATGAATTACAAAGGGGAAAAGAGAAGAGAAACATGGCGGACAGCACCTCACTAAGTGATCAGAGTTAATGCCCCCAATTCCCTAGGAAGGACACAGGCCATTTCTGTGTTTTTGATGCCAAAGTACTAACCAAATCTAGTCATGATGCATCAGATGAACCACAGTAAGCACATCCCACAAAATAAATGTTTGGTCAGTATCATGAAAAAATAAAAAATAAAGAAAGGCTGAGGTATTGTTCTAGAGTAAAGGGGAAATAGAAATTAAATGTACTACTTGATTCTAGATTGGATTTCTGCCATGATCATCACCTGAGACTATTTTCATGGGTAGATGAGCTGGATAGAAAGACTAGTGAAGGGTGTTCTGGGAAGAGCCCAGTCCAGAGCCAAGATGTTCTGGATGGATACATGAGAAGAAACTATAAAGTGGCAACTAATTCATTCATGATACCACCCCATCCAAGCTGCTCCATTAACTTTCATCTGGATTGCTATCTACAGTGATAAACAGATTCCATATTTAATCATCTAGATTTCATCTAAAGGCTTCTCAGACCAGCACAGACCTGGCCTAAGAGGTCTGTGAAGTCAGGCCCCTGGTGCCCTCTCGAACCTTCCCCAGCAACCCTTAGCTGGATAGGCACTCTCTATGCTGGCCTTCCTTCTGGTACAACTAAAGTTTCATAGAATTAAATTGAAATTCAAATGGAGAGCAAATGGGAGAGCAAAAGAACAAAAGAGAAATCTGACACCGAAAGACTTTCAAGGATTTGATCTCAAAAAATACTAGATTTAGTAAATTAGGGCTATGTTTACCTTAAAAATTTCTTGGTTTAGCTCTGCTGTTATGATTTTCACAATATACATTTTTTAAGTAAAAGTTAATTTTCTCCAAATGTACCAAGTAATATGAATATATGTCAGAGATTTGTCTTAGGATCATCAAAATGTCAATCCAAGAACTATTTAATAATATAAGTGAAACGAATATTTCAGAGCACCAGGTAATGTTACTGAAAATGTGTGCATATCCAACAAAAATAGCACTTCAGAAGCAAAGTTATATATTTAGATATTAATTTCCTCATTTATATAAGTACTAGAGGCCTGGTGCGCAAAAATTTGTGCACTCGGGGGGGGGGGGGGGTCCCTTAGCCCAGCCTATGCCCTCTTGCAGTCTGGGACTCCTCGGAGGATGTCCACTTGCTGGCTTAGGCCCACTCCCTGGGGGATCAGGCCCAAGCTGACAGTCAGACATCCCTCTGGCAGCCTGGCAGCCCTTGGGGGATGTCCACTTACCAGCAGGGAGCAGACCTAAGCTGCAGTCGGACATCCTTAGTGCTGCTGAGCAGGTGGGAGAGGCTCCCACCACCACTGCTGTGCTGGCAGCCATCAGCCTGGCTTGTGGCTGAGCAGAGCTCCCCCTGTAGGAGCACACTGACTACCAGGGGACAGCTCCTGCATTGAGCATCTGTCCCCTGGTGGTCAGTATGTGTCATAGTGACCAGTCATTCCCAGTTGTTCTGCTGTTAGGGTCAATTTGCATATCACCCTTTTATTATATAGGATAGAGGCTTGGTGCACAGGTGGGGGCCGTCTGTTTTGCCCTGAAGGGTGTCCCGGATCAGGGTGGGGGTCCTGCTGGGGTGCCTGGCCAGCCTGGGTAAAGGGCTGATGGGTGTTTGCAGGCTGGTCACACCCCCTTCAGGGTGGGGTTCCCCACTGGGGTGCCTGGCCAGCCTGGGTGAGGCGCTGATGGCTGTTTGCAGGCTGGTCAAGCCCTCTCCCCCCAGTGGGGACCCTCACCCCATGGAGGTTTGGCCAGCCTGGGTGAGGGGCTGACGGCTGTTTTTAGGCTAGCCACACCCCCTTTAGGGTGGGGGGTCCCCACTGGGGTGCCTGGTCAGTCTGGGTGAGGGCTGAGGGACGTTTTCAGGCTGGCCAAGCCCCCTGGCAATGGAAGCTACCAGCCTCTCTTTTCTTTCTTTTTATTCTGGGATTTATTTACCTTCTATAATTGAAACTCTGTATCTGAGTGGAGCTCAGAGCTGGCCAGGGTGGGCGGGAAGTTTGGCTTCCTTCATTGCCAGGAGCAGCCCAAGCCTCCTGCTCGCTCCAGCTCTGTGGCCACGGCCGGCTGAAAGCAAGTATCTGGGGTTTATTTATCTTCTATAATTGAAACTTTGTTGCCTTGAGTGGAGCTCAGAGCTGGCCATGGCAGGCGGGAAGCTTGGCTTCATCCATAGCCTGGGCAACCAAGCCTCCTGCTTGTTACAGCTCCGTGGCTGCTGGCCGCCATCTTGGTTGGGTTAATTTGCATATAGTTGCTCTGATTGGCTGGTGGGTGTGGCTTAGGGCATAGCAAAGGTATGGTCAATTAGCATCTTTGTCTTTTATTAGTGTAGATAGACTCTTTTATCAACATAATCTCATTTGTAAAGGACAGAGACACAGATGACAACAGAATGTTAGGCTTAAAAACTACCAAAAAAATATTACCTCTGAAAGACCATTATAATTACACTAGAGGCCTGATGCACGAAATTCGTGCAAGGGGCTCGGCCCTCGCAGCCCTATCTTCTTCAGGAAGGTCGTTCGGCTGTCTGGTCTAATTAGCATATTACACTTTTATTATTATAGATTTGCATCTTCAGGTTCTCAATTCTCTTTTACTAATTTTGATTCTGATAACTAGTTTTAAGTAGCCTTAACATATCTATATGAAAATACATCTGTGCAAAGGAAATGGTTTCTCAAGTTTATTTTTTAAAATTAATAATATGATTTAACTTAATCAACATGTTCACAAATTAGGTGCTTTGGATTGCATAGAAATCCACTTGAGAGTTACTGTTTCTGAACTTCAGATTAAATATGGAAAATGTTTATCATGTGTGAGTTTGTCATGAACAAGAAAGAAAATGTGTGACTGATTAATACACCTTAGTTCTAATTTCTCATTACATGCCAAGAATAACTTTTTTCTACATCAGAGCCATATATGAGATGTTTTATGATTACTTTTAGGTGAACACGACAGGGCAAAATTGAGAACATAAATATGTGTTAATAAATGTGTGAACCTGAAGCTGAATGGGCATGCCACTCCTGATTCCAGCTAGGACCTTGTGGTTTGGGGTGACGTGACTGCCGCATTACATAAATGTCACAGGGTGCTGGAGGACATCCCACAGCTCTAGCTGGCTGAAGCACTGCTTTGGCGCTACCTATCCCCCTGCCCCCCACATCATCCCCTTTATTCCCCCTCCAAGCCATCCAATCAATTAAAGACACAGTTCAGTGAAAAACAGTGGGCTCTGCTGTGCCAGATACCTTATCTCTTTTTCTAGCCATTTTGCTACCCCTGAATCCTTTTTAAAAATTCTAGAGATCTCACTGGCTACATTGGAATGCTTATCAGAAACAATAATCCCATTATAGATTGCAAATAAAAGCTAAAAAAAAAAAAAAGTAATTCTTATTCGCCATCCCAATCCAGAGCCCACAGGACAACCATGTTGTGCTGAAGAGAAGGGTAGGGCTGAGCAGGTGCACGCTGCCCGAACTTCAGTGAGAGCAGGGCAGGACCTATCTATTGTACATGCTGGTTTTTGCACCAGCTTTCCTTGGAAGAGAGGCTTCTGAGAATGAAAATTGTCTCAAGACCACCATGCCAGGCAGTAAAAACTTTGAAATACTGCTATTGATGGGTACACATACACAGCACAAACGTATGCTTTTTTTTTTTTAGCACAACTGTAACAAAAGTGATTTTCTGAGAAATTTAACAAATATATTTTTATATGACACATGATTGATCTACTTGCCAAACAATAATATAAAGAAATGTTTATTCCAAAACAAGAGAAAACTAATATTCATATCATCTTTTTAAAGCAATACTACCATGCAAGTGATTAGGAAAGCAGTCCTAAATCTGCAGATGTGAAATGAACTTCATTTTCCTATCATATAGTAAATGTTCAGAAGTAATCCACGTTATTATTTACAGCATGCATTCTCTTCTCATTTGATCTGAAGGACACCCCTTAAAAGTAAACTGAATTCTGTTCTAATTTTCCCTCAGAGGCAATCACATATCAGAGAGTATTTCCCTCTACTTGTGGAATTTCTACGTACTTATTCTCTTGGAAACTGTTAATTTAAAAATACAGATAAGAAAAAGTTCTATAGGTTTTTCTTAAAATGCTGTCTTCCTGGTTATCAATCTCACCAATACATTCATAAAAGCATTTTTTATAATTGTATTGTTTTTAATATTTTTAACCAATGTTAATATTTTGATACAGAGGAAAACATTTCTTTTAAGCAGAGCTAGATTTTTGAAGTTAACCATGAATTAATGTTAATATTGCTTCTCAGTAAGCCACCTCATTAAAAATGGTTCTGCCCTGGCTGGTGCAGCTCCATTGGTTGGAGCCTCATCCTGTATACCAAAAGGCTGTGGGTTCGATTCCCTGTCACGGCACATACCTAGGCTGAAGGCTTGATCCCCCGTCGGGGCTTGTAAGGGAGGTAACCAGTTGATGTTTCTCCTCATATCAATGTTTTCTCTCTCTCTCCGTCTCCCTGTCTCTGTTTCTCTCTAAAAATCAGTAAACATATCTTTGGGCGAGGTAAAAAAAGAAAAGAAGGTTCCATCTTGCACCACTTAAATTATTTCAGTAAAGATTTACATACCTGGGAATATTCAAAGTCAGTGATAGGGGCTATACTCTTGATGTAGTCTGATCGAAATTGATTTTCTGGGTTGGCCAGTGGAACTGGAGGTATTATAGTACTCATCGCTGAAATAATTGTCTAAAACAGAATAAAGAAAAACATATTTATGGATGAATATAACACAGGCTCCATGTATGATAAGCTAATGTATAATTTCTGTCTACTTAGTTGTAGAGAGCAGAGTACTTAACTTTTCTAGCAAACAACCATTAAGTAAAAGTCCTTACCACGATAGCATCTTTAACATTTTTCCGGATGTCCAGGATTTTCTGCTTCTTTTCCCTGTATTAAAAGAGAATTGTTATGAACTTAATTTGTCGTCAGCACTGATTTGAATGAATTGGGTGGAACTTTAAATTTCCAGCTGCAGCCCCTGGCTAGACTGGTTTTCCTAGAGCTCAACACCAACCCCAGAACAACAGTTTTTATCGGCAAAGTTTTTATCTGGGAAAGGAAAACATGCCCCTTTTCTAGTTTGTACTCTAAACAAACTTGAATGCACACAATACAATCTATAGCTTTACACAACCACACATGTTGCACAAAACATGGCAAGCCTGTCATGAACACTGCATATAAAACTATACAGCTACACCTGCAAATATATTTGATTTGAATCTATCCATGTGTTGATAGGTATGAATTAAAATAGATGCAGACAAATGATATAGAGAAAAAGTATATATTGACATGTTGGTTAAGTGTGTTCAGAGTAGTACCAAGACTGCAGATAAATACCTCAAGAATGCCTAATAAATCATATTTTGTTAAGCAAGTTATTTTTTTACCTAGAGAAAGGATTTACCTAAATATACCAAATTCAACAATACACTCTTACACTGAGTGTCCAGATTATTATGACCACCCCATCAGTACTTCATTGACACTTCCCCAAAATACTGAATATTGAAAACTTCCTAAGCAAATACTCGCAAGGTTTTATTATTATTATTATTATTTGCATAACTAATTCACTTCATTGTACTGATGGGGTGGTCATAACAATCTGGCCACTCAGTGTATATTTTTCTCCCTAAAAGTGTATTCGAAGCAAAACCGAAATTGATCATTTCTTACTCGGGATTAAATCCATTGACGTGCAGGATCCTCATTTGTTTGACAATAGTGCTTTTCCCAGACTCACCAGCCCCTGCAAAACAAACAGAAAGAATGCTGAGATCTGTAGCTGGATGCCCTTGCCATTGTTCACACCAACCCACACTGAGCAATTATCCTCTCCAAGGGCAGGCATTTTCAAGTCCAGGCCAGCGCTGGACTGGCCGAGCCGCCGGGGTCGCGGGCTGTGCGCTCCGGGCCTGGCAGCCGCCGCCCCTCCCGCCTTACCCAGTAGAAGCAGGCGGTGGGTCGCTTTGTAAGCCAGGCGCTCCTTCTGCAACTGCTTCTCGATCTTTTTGTTGGCCTCGCGCCTTTCCTTTTCATCGACGCCCTGGTCTTCTGTTGTCTTGCTGTTGCCCAAACAGCCCATGCCTGCCCGCTCGACTGGACGCCAGGCACGGTTAGGAATTTGCCCCCAAAGCAATTAGGGAGCAGTGGATGTGCGTGGATCCTGCGGTGGCCTCTCTTCCCAGCTGCTGAAAGAGATGGCCCGGTCTCTCGGTGTGTCCGGATCCGAACCGGCGGTCTGCTCCCTCCCCGCTGCCCACCGCAAACTCCTAACTAGAAAGGATGCAGGGAGGACGCACGGAGTCCGACGCCTGTGGGGATGGTTTCGTTTTGGACGCGCGGCAGTGAACGGGTTAAAGATAACTATCTAGGACGATCTGCCGGGTAAACGGCACACAGGGACCGGAGAAAGGGGCAGGAGAAAGGGGCACGGACCGCCAGGCTCCGCGGGAGCAGCCGGGTTCCACTCGCCCAGGTTCCCCGCCCAGCTCCGCTGAGCTCAGCCCCTGCCCAGCGCCCGGACGGGACCCCCGAGGGCCGAGTGCTCAGCCCAGCGCGCCCGCAGGCTGGTGGCCGCGCGCAGCGGGAGGGACGGAGTGCGCTGCGAGATCCCGCAGGGCGACTGTGGGCACCGACCCGCCACGCCGCCCCTGGGGGCACAGGGACCCGCGCTGCCTCCCGGGTCTGAGCTCCTCCGCGCAGGGAAGGGAGGCTGGCCCGCGGGAGGGGAGGGGAGGGGAGGGTGGCAGGTAGGCTAGCCTGGGTGTGGGAGGGACGCTAGCGCTCACGGTGCTGCCGGGGCGGGAGCTGACCTCTCAGCGCCCGGCCGTGGGAGGCTCACCCTCGTGGGGTCCCGACCGCTGCCAGGTGGCTGCCTCGCACCCCAAGCCCAGGAGAGTGGGTGGACGAGCGCGCGCTCCCCTCAGACACTTCAGATGCCGCCTGCTCATAGGCAGGGAGGCCGCGGGATCATGCATATTCTATCAGGGAGGAGGATCTGCGAGGGCTCACGGGGCACCGCCTTTGTTCCCCGCACTTTCTAGACGATTCCTGCACACCCACGCCGCCCCTGAGCCTCTCATCTTTAGCCCCAGCCCCCGCGCTCCTCGGCTGTCCTCTCATAGCTGTACTCCTTTCTAGAGGGCACTCTGGCCTCCAACTTGGCATTGCAGCCAAGGGCCGAAGGAGGGCAGGAGGCAGGCTGTGTCCTCATGGACTGTGACGGTGAGATAGGCTCCTCCACTCCTGCTTCAGCAGCTCCAGGGGCGCCAGCTACTCTGCACTAGCCTGGCCGCACTGGGGGGAGGAGGAAAAAGAGGTGACTGGGTGCTGTGGAGACCACTGCCCTGTGCGTTGCTGTTGCAAGCTGATGGCCTCCAGGCTCCAGGGGCCCGGGCACTGCACAGGATTCTTTCACTGCCTTGGCTAGAGGGGGGTGGGGGTTGGGGTGGGGAGGGGCTCCCTGCGCCCAGGGGCATGGCAGTCTTCGCCTGTCTATGTGTCCCCTCTCCTCTGAGCTCCCCTCTTTCTTCACACTCTTTCCTATTGGCTTGTTCCCTTCAAGCGTACAAGTACCTTCAACTCTGTCCCATGTAAAACCAACAGCACCTCCTTCATTGCAAGTCGCTGGTTAGTTCCACCAACTTTCCTCCTGCCCACCACTGCCAAGAGTTAAAAGGGAATGTGTTCATACCTCAGCCCCTGGCGGCCCACCCCCCTGCACTGGAAATACTCTCATCATGGTCACTGGTGGTGTCCCAGGGGCTAAACATCACCTGTGAACTTTGGTTTTTGAGTTTGTGTTTTAAAGTGTGGAACACTTCATGGATTTGCAAGTCATCCCTGCGCTGGGGCCGTGCTAATCTTCTCTGTGTCGTCATGAACTTTGGTCTTGGCTTCCTTTGACCCCTCTGTGGGGCTGGCTCTGTCTGTCCTTGAGAAGCTCCTGTCCTCCCGCTCCCACCAGATGGTCTTTTTGATTTCACGCCTGCCCTCGGGCTGGTGAATCTCCACTCCTCCACGGGGTGGAGGCACCTTGGACCCACAACAGCCTCTACCCCCTGGTGGGGCTGACTGCATCTTGCATACTGTGTTCACACAGCTCTATGTCCATATCAGCTCTCCAGCCCAGCTCACACCCTGACTGTCCAACCAGAACCTGGAAGTCATTCGTGACTCATTTTCCTTCTTGTCAGCCCAAGTAGGATCTTACTGATCTGTGTCCTGAATATCTGTCTTATTCTTTCCACCCCATCTGCCACTGCCATGGTCTTAGGTCCCTAATCTAACCTGGATTTCGGCAGAAGGTGAGAAAAGATATATAAAAATAGCATAGTGTAGTGGAATGTTTACAAGGATTTGTCAGTTTTTTAAATGCCAAGATTTATATGAATTGTTAGTGGGAAGAGAAGGGGACAAAACAAATCTCATGAAAACTCTTAAAGGGAGAATTAAGTTGGAACCCAGAAGCCACACTTTTAAGGCAGCCTGATATTTAGTTTCCCTAAAAATATAGCAAATTTTTTCCACCTGTTAAAAATTAGGAATTAGGGTTAAATATAACTTTGTATATGTTGAATTTTATATGATTACATAAACAGACCTAATAGAACAGGTCTGCACTATACGACCTACAGTATGTCCTAAAATATAGACTGCTAAACACTCTAAAATATAAAAGCAATGTCTTTATACAGTGATACAGCATTTCTTAAAAGAAATGCAAAGTCGACCTTTTCCTAGTCCTATCTTTATCTGGGAAACTGATCCTCATTTGTATTTCCAACCATGGGATCAGCGTTCAAAATTCCAGCTGGTTCACCTAGAGCAGGCGGAGCGGAGCTGTAGGTAGAGCACTAAGCGCAGCCAGGAGCTGCTGGCAATGCAAGCATCTGTTGCCAGGCAACGGCCGCTGCCACCACAGCAGCAGCAGCAGCAGCAGCAGCAGCAGCAGCAGCAGCACCACCACCACCACCACCACCATCACCACCACCACCACCACCACCACCACCACCACCACCACCACCACCACCACCACCACCACCACCACCACCACCACCACCACCACCAAACCACCACGGTGGAGCAGCACCCACATGCAGAGATGAAGGGCTGCCCTGCAGCAGCCAGGTGCCAGCAGAGGGGCAGAGGTGCTGGTTCAAGGAAATGCTGGGGCTGCAAAGTAGGTGTGGGAGGGAGAACTGGGAAGGTACAAAGTTTGGGGCAAAAAAGGGCAAAAGATAAAGTGATGTTTTCCTCACTCTTGTTGATGTTTAAGACAGGCAGGGTGTCCCTGAAATCTCACTGCATTTGAAAGTTTAATTACTTACATTTCTCTTACTTTCCTTAGTTTTGTGAATTTTGATTTTTAAATTTGGTTTTGTTTCAGTCCCTCTGACTGGATAGCAATATATATATTGCACCAGTTCTCTGGTCTGAACTCTAGTCTATGGTGGCAATAAAAACAAAATTTGTTTCTCGCCATAGAAGTTAAATAACTGGATTAAGTATTCATAGACTGTTTGACAGGCCTAGATCTAGGAGATGCTGAGTTGCTTTGGAAAAAGACTAGAGTGCTAGGTAGTACAAGATAGTGGAGAGTTGAATTTAATTTTTAAAAATCAATACTTAAAAAAGTTTAATAACTAGTCTTTCAATAGCATTTTACACTTAAGAGATTGATAAAGGCTAAAACTGCACTAAGACTTTTGGAATAGTACATAAAAAATTTTAAAAGAAGAGGAACAAAATAGTTTAGGGAAGATGAAGAGTCACGAATTCCGTGCAATGGCAATGCTCCAAGAATCCAAAGCTGCAGCCAGTTTTGCAGCGAACTTGGCGGCACCAGCTGGGTGACTGCTCCGCACACGGCCCTCATTCCAGTTTGTGCCATTTTAGACAACTGCTGTTGTCCTATCTCTTTTCTTTCTCAGTATCTTGGTGGAACCAACCTGTGTAGATCAATTTCCATTCTTAACAGCGGAGCCCCCTCCATGACCTAATCACAATACACTTTAAAAGTACTGTGGTTAATTTTTTCCCATTTTTATAGAAAAGCAGGGAAACATTTCCCCTTTTGTGCATAATACTCTGCAATCAAATGTCTTACCACTTATTGAAATATTTGTCTCCTTTTTCCCCCTCTTTACTCAGACACCCAAAGTAATATTAAATAGCTTTGGGAAGTATCATCCATAAAGGGTAGTAATTCAGTCTTGTTCTTGACAAAAATGACAGCTTTAAAAACTAAAATAGCAACCAATCATAAGGGAAGGTATGCTGCCTCTGATTCCACCCCATGTCCCAAAACCCAGGACAGAAATATCCTCTCTGGCACACACAACTCAGTGTCACAGGCAGGAGTTTCTTACAGCATGAAAACAATAGGTGGGAGACCACTAAATGATAAGACAACAAAACCCCATGAAACAGAACAGGGAATCCACAAACAGAATGAAGCTCAAAAAAGTCTGTGAAAGCCACCAAACTGGGTCAGATTATGAGACAGAAATGAAATAATGGGCCCAAGGACCACAGGAGTGAAAATTAGCATTTAACCTGTGAAGGTGAGCATCTCTATTTGTTTAATTCAGCACTTTAACCTCAAGTAGCCTAACAAAATATTGGACTACAGCAGAGATTCAAACACATGTTTAATTCTTATGCCTCAAATGCTGACATGAAGTTTCAAAAAGAGTCTAACCAATTTTAAAGATATATATATATTTTTTTACTAATTAAAAAACA